AGGGTTGAATCACGGAGATGTTCCATGAATCGGTCTCGATCTCTTCAGTATAGAAGAGGAGAACTGATGATCCCTGAATCGAAACATAATCCCCTTTACGCCGGCCTCCATGTACTCCAATCCTTCGTGCCTGAGGTAATGCAACCCCATGATCAGACAGGACACTAGGAATGTGGAGTTTGGGCACATTAGAGTGCACACATGCAGGCTTAAGACCAAGAGGGCGGAAGTCGCACAGGGTGAAGTAGTCCTGCCTCTCCCGCGTTGCATCGGTGTCGGCGAGTGGCGGAACGTCAAACACGGCAACTAGCTGCGGGCAAAAGTGTCCTTGGACATCAAGGTCGGACACATGAAAAGTGCACATCGAGACCCGCCCAGGCGACAGGTTCATACGGGTCATGACATGGTCGACAATGGTAACCCCGTAGTGATGATGAGGTTGCACACAGTAGCGTTCATTGCGGTAGAGAACACAGACGCTGTGGTGCAGCTCAATATTGTGAAAATGGCACATGGGTCCCCATCGCGTCTTGTCCTCAAGGGCCTCGGCTCTGTGCTTGGCAAAGGGAGTATCCACCTGGGGGACAGCGGTGACAACGTCACCATCGTTGAGCGTAACAAGTGCCTCTTTTGGCCATGGCCTGGATCGACAACCCACAAAGAGGCGGAGGCTGTCCAAGTCCACATTTGTCAAAGGTCCAAGAAAAGCAAGCAGCGCAGAGTACGACAAGTGGCGAGGCAACACTGTTGCAAAATAATGCCCCCCCGCTCTGCTGAGGTCTGCCACTACTGCTGCTTGTCCATCCCCAACATGGCGTATTAGGGAAGGGAACCGGATGACCGAAAGGTAGTCGCTGAACCTCTGAGGCTGAAGGGGGACTACGCTGTCCATGACCCCATCAGGTGTTCCGGGTGCACAGTCACAAAGAATATCCAGAACACCTCGTAAATCCTCGCCTTGACCTACCGGGACAGCAACTGCCTGGGGCTTATAGTATGGGGTATACACATAGACCCCTAACATCTGCTTTTCCTCATCGACATTGGAGGCCGGTGGAGGCCATTGGGCGTCGCGCAGATGCAGAGACGCAGCGGCCCTTCGAGCACGATCCACATCAAGCCAGGGGACTTCAGGATATCCGTTCCCGACATGGAATGTAAGCTCGTCAGGGTGCAAGGCATGCGGGGCACGGCTTGCAGCAGGCGGTGCATCTGGGTCGAGTGGCCGCGCCATAGCATTCGTGGGCGGAAGCGAGATCAACCAGACGGGTGCAAGGAACCCAAAGCCTAGCGGGCCATATGGTCGAGGAAGGCCAGAGAAGCCCCAAAGGACGCAACACAGTCTGACAAACAAAACATGCAGAACGCCTATAGGGCGGTCCCTGTTACGCCTCAAACCTCGCCGGCCATGCTTATTGCGCCATATACCCCAATTAAGGATTGGAGTTCCCGAAGCACAGGAGCCCAGGGGAAAGGCAACAGACATCACGAAGCTGGCAGGAGCCGTGGTTGTGGTACCGCGTGCGCGGGCACGCAAGGTGGTGCCCCAATAGAGAAGGGTGCACAGTGCGGCCAACATGAGAAGACCAACGCTCCGAGCCAAGGAGTGCAGAAACTCGGCAGCATAAGAACATAAGTGGGTCATGCCGCAGACGGGGTCGCTGTCCCAGAGCCACCGATACAGCTGTTTGGCACGCCCGTCTGCAAAGCAAAAACCTACCTCGACACCTGAGGGAAGTGGGCTCAACCGGGAGGGGTGACAAAGCGGCCCAGCCGGGAGCATATCACGGGTACCCACAGGGACTATGGGACTAGACCCGAAAAGGGACTTAGAGGGGAGAACATGGGTCGTCCCTGGCCGCGCGGTTCCAGGCCTAACACAACATGTGGTCGTTGCCCCAGAGCGACCGATGCAACTGTTTCGCACACACATGTCGTGAGAGGTGTTGGTAATGGGCAGCGGCACACAGAAAAGGTGTGCGAAAAACCCCGAGGAAGGGGCTTGTGGCGGAGGGACCGGAGCGGGATCACAAACCCAGTGGTCCGCACCGTTCCGCGAGGAAGAAGAGCACAAACCATATGGCCAAACCGGCAAACCAACCGGCGACCATACAGAAAGGCTCGCAAGGACAAGGCAACTCCGCAGGGGCACGCCAGTGCAGTGCAGGAAGAGCCGAAACTGATAGAAAGAGATGGACCCATTCGGGACCGCTGAGCTCATATGTACAGCGGAAGATGACAAAAAGTCGAGCTGTACATCAGCAAGTACCTCATCGGCTTGCTTCAGCCGAAAATAGTCGAAGACAAGCAAGACGCAGTCTCCGACCCTTCTCGGGGAAGCAAACACTATCCGGGGTGGTGCACCGCCTCCTGACCGCTGAACTCGTCGTCGTCGTTCACAATGCGAACTGGGTGCGACCCGAGGCCACCATGTAAATTGGCCATCGTGTCGGGAGCTGAGGTAACAGCTCCCCCGGCATGTGTCTGGGCATGCCGCCCCGTTCCGAATGGCTCCAAGGCTCGCCGGCGAAGAAGGCGCTCCTGTAGACTGGGGCTTTTGCCGTAGGACTCCTGCATGGTGTCGGGTCCTGGCGGCGGCTCTGCTGGCGGAGGAGTGGGTGCGATCGCGGGCCTCTCCACGATCGGTCGCACCATAGGGGGCTGGCTTGCATTCCCCGAAAAACCATTGCCAGGAGGTATGGCTGCAGGGGAGGGAACATAAGAGTACGGATCGAACGCCGCAACTCCCGGATCTGCTGTGGAAAGTCCAGGTGGAACTGAAGCTCGGTCCTGAAGAGGCGTGCGCGGAGCTGCAGCAGTAGGTCTTGTAGGGGTAACCAAGGAGGCTCCTAGCGCACGGCGCACCATTGCATCCGTCGCCGAGGAGTCTTCTCTGGCCCACTCTGCGAAAACTTCTTCCACATCTGGTCCCCCGGACATGTCCGCGTCCCCATTGGAGTGAGACGGCAGCTGGGACTCGCCACAAAAGGCAGCTCTGAGTCCCATTCTCGCGATCTCCTGTGCCTCCTCTGCTTCCAGAATCTCCTTCCCCAGACGTTCCAGGTCCCGCGAAAAGCGGGAGCGTTCGCGGCGGAACGCTTCTTTCATCTTGGCTTCGAACTCGCTCCATTTCACACCTGCAGCTTTGTGGGCTTCGCGAAGCTTCAGAACTTTCTGCTCCGCCTTCCTGGTAACGTTCAGCGCGGCCTGGATAGCGGGGGTAGTTGAGCCCCGCGTAACTATATAGAGCTTCCATCGCTTGGTCCAGCGGCATTCGGTCTGTCTGCGGGAAGATTGACCGAAGCATACGTGGGGAAAACAGGTTCCGCACGTTGAGTGCCCTGGTTCCACGGCCGCTGCTTGTCCTTGACACCACTGCCACCATGAGGCGAGTATGCACCAGGCCAGACTCTGTAGCCTCCTGAGTTCCATGGCTGACCCTGCTGTTGGCCTTGTTTACTGCCGCGTCCCATGCGTAGCAGAGAAAACAGATGCGCTGCTGTCTCAGGGTCAGTGCCGTGGTGAAGTGCCAGGCCTAGAACTCGACGTCGCCCTGGATGAGAACCCTTTCTCAGTAGGCGGCGAGTATTTGAGCGGCGGTGCCGCAGACGCCTATGCCAGCCGGGCGAGGGCGGAATGGCAGGAGGGGCGCCGGATCGCACCGCTTTCGGTGCTGGGGCTTCAGCTATCGCCTCCTCGCGGCGTGTTCTGAGCCCTCTACAGGGGCCTTAATAAATAGAATAGGGCTTTGGGGTATATCATACTATAATCATAATAAGGAGCCCCAAAATCGTATAGGTAATTATGCAGGCCCCTATGGTAGACCCCTAGGCTCCAAACCACAACCGAAGGACCGCCCCCAGGTGGTTCGAGCCGTAGACGGTCTCCAGGACGCGCCAGAGCACTGAGTTGTCACCATGGGTCGTGGCCCGACTCCTGCGGTTTTTGTGGCTTGGGGTTTAGGGCTTAGGGTTTTATGGCTCAGGGTTTAAGGGTTCAGGATTTAGGGGTTCTTTTTTTGACTCTTACACTCACACAAGGCAGGCAAGGCCCCGATTTAGGGTTTAGGGGTTCAGAGTTTAGGATTTTTAAGGGTTCAGAGTTTGGGATTTAGGGTTTAGGGGCTTCTGGTTTTATGGCTTGGACTCACACACTCGCGCAAGGCAGGCATGCCTTCCGAAGGTCCGAGCTTGCTACTGTTACAGGAGCGACGGAACTGACTGATCAGTGGGAAGAGGAATTGCTGAGGAAGAGGAATTGCTGAAATGTCAAAAGGAACTGCTGAAATGTCAGGAATGTTACGGGATATCATGCCACACCACTTGATCCGACTTGACAGTCACTCACTTCTGACTACCGCCCTGCTACAAGCCAGCTCTAGGCATCAGAAGCCACCCACGACTGAGCATCGGCATCGCGTGCACCATCCGCATCGCATGCACCATTCATGCTACAGCTGTCAGCTCGCTATTTCAAGCTGGTCACTATGCTTCACGGGTTTCGGGCCAAGGAGTTCAGCACTCACCGCTAGGCAGAGCCAGGCGGGGGTTCAGGGTGAGAGTATCAACTCTAAACCAGATGATCCTCATCATTACCTAGACCGCCCCACTCTCCCGAAACGCTCCCGAAATCCCCACCCCTCCACCCCGAGGCTCTTCCCTACTCCCTACTCCCTAAAGTGGCCCTACACCGTAAAGCCCCGAGACACTTTAGTAACCTGGAAAAGCCCTAATCATGGAACTGATAAAAACCCTACAACATGTACTTAAGCCTGTCTAGCAAACCTAACGAGCCCTTATGGAGACCTCCCACAAGAAAGCCCGAAAGCACCCCCCCCCCAAGGCCCCAAGCGGAGCTTGCAAGTCGCTTCCGGAAAGTTCCAGAGGCTCCTGGCGATGCGGCCCTCGTCGTAGCCGGGGCCATCCACCTCTCGTTGCTGCGTTTTGGCTGGGCCCATAAGGGAATTTCCGAAAATTAGGGGTACCTTATTTTGGGGAGTCCTTATAATAAGGATCCTAGTATTTTAGGGTACTATACTAGGGTCCCCTATTTTCTGAAACTCCCATAAGAGTCTGAAGCTTTCATGTGTGCAGCCGTGCCTGTTTTCAAAACCCTGAGCCCCAAACTGCAAACCCTACACCTTGTGGCTTCAGGTGTATTATTCCTTGGCTAACAAGGGTCTGTGAACCGATGGGGGCCTTGGAGCTTGAAGTATCGCTTCGCCTCAGACATACACCTCCATATCACTTGGTTCGGGTCGATGAACATGGGTACGGTTTCGGCGCTCACACTCGGATTTGAGTTTAGGGTAGCCGCAACCAAGAAAAAAAAACGTCTTAATCTTCAGGATAGGGGTTTCGGCGCTACGGGCTTGGGGTATAAGCCTGTAGAGTGTCCAACTCATGTCGCAAGTCGGCATCCGCAGCCTCATCTAGGGCACACACGAAACAAAGCATGTTGCCAGCTCTTCTCAAAACCCATGGAACTCGACCACCAGCACCCCTCGGGACTATAAGGGCTCTGTTACCATTTACAGTCCACTTGAGGGGCCACCTGTAGCAAACCCTAAACCCTAAACCCTATTCCTAGCCCGTGAAATCCTCCGAACTCCGAGCTTTTAGCTTCCAGTTTCTGTGGGGGCTTCACGACGGGTTGCATCAGCCCTTGCCAAAGTTTAGGACTTAGCATAGAAGGGCCTTGGGGCGGCAGGACTAAGATAAGCACCGTCCTCCCTCCCGGAACCCGGCAAGTCTAAGAGTCTGAGACCGAAATCACGTACACCCTGCAATGCCTGCTCAAGCCAGACACCAGGCACCCTGCCAGAAACCTATAAAACCCTAAACCCCATAACCCCGAGTCGAGGACCGAGGACCCTAAGCCTTAAGCCCTGCTACCCTAAGTCCAAATTAATCCCCAAACCCGTGGCCTGCTCCCTATCTAGACGCTGATTTTTGTTGAGCCAAAGCCCTATAAATCTTAAGCTCCAAGGCATAACTACATCCTCACGGCTCAACCCTAAACCCGGCAATCCTGAAACCCCAACCCTGCTAGTCATGCTTGTAGAGGTCCTTACAGCAGCCCTGATATGAACCTTTACAGTGCCCTTACAGCTCAACCCTGATAGTAATCCTACTAGCAGCCCTTATAGTATTGAACCTTTACTACAGTGCCCTCCCTAAACCCTAAGCCCTAAAACCCTAAACCCTAAAACCCTAAACCCAAAGCCCTAAACCCTAAACCGCCCTTACAGGAACCCTTGAGGAACTCAGCTCCAACATCTTCCCGAGCCTCCAAGAGACGATCGAAGTATTTCCCTGACTTGAGCCTCAGAGGCCATTTTATAGTCTGTCTCTCTGTATATGTATATATATATATATATATATATATAGTCTGTCTCTCTCTCTCTCTCTCTATGTGTATATGCATATATGCATAGGTATAAACATGTACATACGTATGTGTATACATATATATATATATAAATATGTATAAAGAGTATTGCTGCTACTATTCGTAGTGTTGACGTTGGTATCATTTCCCAACAGCAGACCCTCCCAGAGATTCGGTCTCAGGGTTTGGGGAAGGCTCAGAAATTGGGGCACAAGAAAGAAGGGATTCCTACCCTGAGAGTTTAGGGTTTAGGGCTTATAGTTTCAGATGCGAAAGCTTGTTCGCGGCGCCCGTGGTTCTGGTGGTGGTTGATTGTCATGACACTTCGCAAGATAACCAGAGGACGAGCAGGAGGAGCCGTCCACTGACGGCACAAACAGTAACAGCAAACGGCAACGAGGGCGCCAGCAGCAGGAGTCAGCGATCGTAGTGAAAGCAGGAGCACGTCTGCAAACCTCCAGGCAGAACAAGTGGCAACATGCGGGTGATGTCCTTGTCGAAAGTACTTTCGCAGATGTCCTCGGGGACGTCCACCTGCTTGACACTTTCAGCTAGGACCGAAACTTCTGATGCTGCACCTTACTGTAGCGGGCTCAATACTTTCCTATGTTATTTTGGGGCTTCCTTATTATAAGTATACTACAACGGACCTCAACAACCCCAAGCTAATTATTTAAGGCCCCTATATTACTGAGACCTGGTCCTGGACATTCTGGTGACCCGAGTGGAGCACGAGATTGCAGGTTTTCCGGGCAATGGAAGGGCCCAAGCCAAAGCATGATTTTAGGGTTTAGGGTCTCGGGCTTTAGGGTTTTAGGGTCTTAGGTTCAGGGCTTTTCTGGTTTATGCACAATGCCTGCATGCGCGACTCACCCTGCTTTCGCTCCTGAAATCGAGAACAGGAGCTCAGGGTTCCACTGGTTACACTTTCCCAAGCTCGAAGCTGGCCGCCTGAATGTGCTGGGCGATGAAGGCCAGCTGCTCGAGAAAACTAACCTGTCGCATGCACTGGTAGTCCTGCAGGTCAAGCTTTGGGAAGTCCAAGTATTGCAAGCGTATCGTGGCAGATCAAGTAAATGCAGAGCCGCCAGACCTAGGGAATGCTTTCAGTTGCAGAGTGCAGCTCAAGCCGACATCAATGTTCATATTCATAAGTACTCGATTATGAACTCGCATATGATCTTTTGGTATGAAACTCTAAACTTAAACCCTTACGCCCTGAAGCCGATATCACACCTGTATACCCTGAACCATGACCTGAAACCCAAACTCATCAAACCCGACTCGAACAGTCCCTCGTCGACCTCTGCTCTCCGATTCGGCTTTCAGATGTTCAGCCGTTTGGGCTGTACGGCTCAGGGCTTAACCTCAACCCCCAGACGCAGAAGCCAGTTCTCAAAGCGCGAAACCCTAAGCCTCAACCGGAACACTCAGCGCTCGACCCGAATCTCAAATCCTTTTACACTCAGGCTTGATTGGAGCTCGCCCGGCCAATGTCCCTCGTAGCACACCGC